TACATAAACACACACTCTTTTTTTTGCTTATTATAATACAGACTTAAATGTACAAAGATGTTTTCACTTTTTTTCTCATCTTAAACACAACAGCTATAAACCTGAATACATATGCTATCATCATGCCATAAGAGACTAAAACAATTATATTTAGCGACAAGTAGAAAGGATTAAATAGTCAAAATACGAGAATGAAAAAATGCAGTACATAGTGTCGCGAACTCAAATCGGCATTTAGATAGATCCAGTGATTTTTAAACGGCACGGTTTTTTATTTTATTTTGTTGCTTATAAAAAAGTGCAAAAGATGTGGTTTAAAAGTTAAAGCTACAGGATCCCTTTTTTCTCTCTTGAAAATGCTCCAGTTGTTTCTGTACAACATACTATTTACTTTGAGAGGGTTTGTTTATTTATTTGTTAGAAATTAGCCCTACAGTGAATTAGTACAATCCCTCTCTCTCAACTCACAAGTAGAGTGGAATAGCAAGGGATGCTGTCTCTTTAAGAAGCCTGCAGATTGGAGTGTAAACATGAGGAAAGTAGGGGCTGATTTTTTGTGTGTGAGAGATTAACCAGCAGCCCTGTTATAATCAGGAAATCCAAAACAGCAATTTACACCCCTTATATATTTTTTACAAAAATACACTGAGAAAATAATCAAACGTTTTCATCTCTCTTCTCTTGTTTTTAAAAGTGTCAAAAGTCTACATTTAAATATAAAAAATTAAAAGTTAAAACTCTAGCCCTTCAGTGAAGGTGACATAAAAATGGTGTGGGTAACAACGAAACTACCAAAATAAAAAATAGGACAAAGTAATACAGGTAAAAAAAATGTTTGGCCAGTATAAATACTTCACTTATAAAATGGCATCAAATTACATTTACAAGGAAAAATAATAATGTTTCAAGGATGGATCATGGGTGTGAAAAGAAAAGAGACTTCATTTACAGCTATAAAGGAGAACACACACGCACGCACACACATACAGACACTGAGGAAAAATTTGGTCCTGAATTTCATTTTTTTTAAGTCCAGCACAGATTTGAGTTGCGTTTGAATCCTTTAAAGAGTTAAGAATGAAAAAAGCTGGTGATAATTTTGTAGGAATCAAACATAGCGCCATCTATCTGCTTCTTATATTATTGTAACACTATTCTTTTAAACTGTTCAACAGTCTTACAGAAACCTCAGAAAGATAGGATAACATGCTATATTAAACCCCACCAGTGAAATAATCCAACACCATCACGATTCTGAGCAAGAAAACACATTTTCGCAAAAAAAAAAAAAAAAGAGCAACTGCCCTCTATTTTCCCCTGTACCACATCATTACAGAAACTTGGTATGTTCTATATCTGTCTCCATTTCTTTTTTCTAAACAAAAGTTCAGCGTTGTTGAAATTCCACACATACTGACTTCTCTGTATATAATATAAGGTGACTTAAGAAAACCGCTGCCACCTCCTTTATACGTGCAAATCCTTTTCAGCTTTATTATTATCTTCTTAGCAGAGCTTCCAGTTCCTTTTTAACGTCTCCCCTCTTTTCCATCCCACTCGGGGTGCCAAGTCCAGTTCCTAAGGGCCTCTCTCTCTAACCCCATCTGCTCTCGAGGCGAAAGAGGACACCCCCATCCCCCCAAAAAACGCAAACTAGGATTCTTCCCCACCCCCGGCAATTGCAAGTCCTGCTGATTTGTTTGAAACATTATTTCCCACCCACCCCCCACCTCCGGGAAACCCTAGCCCGCCCCCCAAAAGAGATATCCACAATCTGCTCCCCACCCCCCACCCCTTTCAAAACTCATGGACAAGAAACAAACCTTAGGAGATGTGCGTGACTTCCAGCCCTCCCTCCCCCCCCCCCGCAAGTCGTTGCCATTCTTGTTTTAGCCACTTGATTCTCGCTATAGTCTCTGAAACGTGGAACTCCTTCTCCGGCTGTTGGAAGGATGAAGCGTGGGGGCGGGAGAAGAGGGGGTGTGTTTCTGTGTGAGGATCTGTTTAGCCAGAAATCGGACTCCTGCGGTCGCTTTTTCTCCAAGAAGAAGGGGGGAAAAGGTTGATCCCTTTTGCCAAGTTCCGTATCTATATATTTTTTTTAAAATACACACAACGCCCCCCCAAAAGTCAGATTCATCAGGGGTGGGGGGAGAAGAACACTCAGAGGGCAAAATTCTCGTTCCTCCAGTCTGCAGGGCGCAATGGGGTCTGTGTGCCATCCATGCGCCCCACTTATTTTTCTTTCTCTCTCTCTCTCTTTTTCTGTCTCCACCTTCGACCCCCCTCAGTACGTGAAGACCAGGTTCGAAATGCTGGATTCGAGCCAGTCCCCCGAGATCATCTCACTTACCTCCGGGGTGCAATAGTCCGGGAAGTCAAAGTGGGAGCCCGAGCCGGGCTCCAAGTTAAAATCCAGGTCCCGGTCGAGCACCGAGGAGCTGAGGCTGCCCAGGGCCATGCCGTCGAAGCCCGGGCTGGGGTGCAGGTCCAACAGGTCGTCTTCGAACTCGTCGTCCGAGGAGGAGGAAGCGCACGAGGCGGAGGAGGAGCCCGACGACGACGAGCGCGAGGTGGACGGGGCCGGCGAGCAGGGCGCCCGCAGGCTGGTGTAGCTGCGGTGGTCCGACGGCGAGCAGGGCGAAGCCAAGGGCTCGGCGCCGTCGTGCGGGGCCCCGGCGGCGCCGCCCGCTTCGTCGTAGAGGCTCAGCGGGTCGCTGGCTTCCGTCGACGAGCTCAGCGTGGGGCTCGCCGGCACGGCGCCGCCGGGCGAAGCGTGCGAGAAGAGGTAGAGGCGCTTGGCCTTCTTCTCCGGGAGGTGCCTGGCGCTGCCGCCGCCCGAGGGCGAGGAGGAGCCCGGCGAGGCGGCGCGCGATTTGTACAGAGAGTGGTGCTCCGGGGGCAGCAGGGCGGCCGGCTGCTCCGAGGCGGCGAACGGAGGCGCGCCTTTGCTGCTGCTGCTGCTGCCGCCGCCACCCAGGCTGAGCTTGGGATGCGGCTTGCCCGCGCCGGCGCCACCCGACGAGAGCTTGGCGGCGGCGCTGCTGCCCTTTTTCAGGGCGACTTTGGAGGAGTTGGCAGCGGAGGCGGCTCCTCCTGAGCTGCTGCTGCTGTTCCCGCCGCCGCCGCTCCCTCCGCCCCCGCTCTTCTCGCCCGGCTTGGAGGCGCTGGCGCCCGACTTCACCTTCTTCCTGGGCCGGTACTTGTAGTCGGGGTAGTCGGCCATGTGCTTGAGGCGCAGCCGCTCCGCCTCCCGGATGAAGGGGATCTTGTCGCTGTCCTTGAGCAGCTTCCAGCGCTTGCCCAGGCGCTTCGAGATCTCGGCGTTGTGCATGTCGGGCGACTGCTCCATGATCTTCCGCCGCTCGATCTGGGACCACACCATGAAGGCGTTCATGGGCCGCTTGATGTGCCCGCTGGGCGTCTTGCACCAGCTCGGGTCGTCCGCCTTGCCGCCCGTCGATGCCGTCGAGCCCGGCGTCGGCGAAGAGGCGATGCCCAGCTCCACGCTGGCCCCGGAGTCGGAGCTCTCGCCGGCCAGGAGCGCCTCCGTGTTCTCCGCGTTGTTCGTCTGCTGCACCATCTCGGCGGCTCGCGCGCGCAGCAGCGGCGGCTGTCGGGGGAAGCGGCGGCGCTCAGTTTGGCACCAGCTTGGAACCGGGCGCTCAACTTTCCCCGTCGCTCGGCAGCCCCCTCGGCGAGCGCGCCGTCCTTCGGCTACTTAAGGCACGGTTCCCTCTGGGAAGTAGTTGTAGCTCCACACCGCTCTCCTCCTCCTCTGCTGCCCGGCAGACTTTCTGCCCGCCTTTGCGCCGCAACTTTGCGCCGGGGGTCTAGTTACAGAAGCCGGGCTCCAAGCAGAAACAGTTTCTTTTTTTAACGCCGCCAACCGCCAATCCAAGGTCTCTCGCCTCTCTCTTTTCCACCTCTTCCCCCACCCCGGAGTTTACAAGTGCTTTGCTCGCTCCGTCTTTCTTTCTCCCTCTCCTCTCCCTGCTCGAGGTGTTTCAGCAAAGCAGCACGCCCACTGCTGAAAGTCTCTCGTTTTCTTGGAAGGGCACAGCAAAAAAACCAAAAATACCTCTTTTTAAAAAAAGGCCGCCTCCCACAAAGCAAAGGAAAAAAGAAAAGAAAATGAAAATCTTCCTCAGTCCGTCCAGGACTCGTGGTAGAAGGGAGCAGGAGTTTGTTCGACGGGCATTCAGTGGCTGCGAGGGGATTAGGCGGCCCCGCGCATGCAACCAAGTAGCGTTAACAAATGTGTGTCTTCCCGGGAGGAATCGCGGTGACTGGTGCAATCAATGTATTTAGTCCCGTCTCGCCTTCCTTTGGATGCACAGCCCCAAAGAGAGGAAAGAGACATGTACAAACCGGGGCGATGCAAGTGGCCTGCTTTTTCGCACCGCCCCCCTCTCTTAGACGGTTACTCTGGCTGCAGCTTAGAGCGGACCCCAATTCCGCCTCGCGCCCCTTTATCCTTTCACAGTCATTTCCCCAGCCAATCGCAGGCTGTATCCAACGCTCCGCCGTGCCAAGCCCCACCCCCTCGGCTCCCATTGGCTTGGAACCCAATGTAACAATAATCACCGCGTGCAATGAGAAGCTCCAAATCTGACCTCATTCCAATTTACACAAACTTTTTAAAAGGGCCAGAAGTGCAGCTGAGATTTCTGGTTTTTCTTTTTCTCTCTCTCTCCCCCCCCTCCTCCCTTTTTTTGCGTTTGCATTTCTCCTCCTACTTCATCGCGTGTGCGCGTGTGAGGGCGAAAAGGGCGGCGGGCCTGGGGCGGCGGGGGAGGGGGGCGTGGAGAGGAAAGTGCGTGTGCACGTGTGAATGCGTGTGCGCGCTGGCGCGCTCGCGAGCGGAAAGGAGGGAGCGGGGCGGGCGTCCGTGTGTTACTACACTCTGGGGGTGGAAGGAGGGAGGGAGGGAGATGAGCTCTGCCCGTTATGTTAGCGGAGAAGGGGGATGGGGAGGGGGGAGCGGGCGGGCGATGCGCTGGAAGCGTGGACTTCCGCGTAAAGGGACAGGCGACTCCTTGGGAGCGTTTCCTCGTGGAGAGGAGGAAGCGGAGTGGGGGATGGGAGAAGAGCCCAGCACGTGTTTTTGCTTAATCTCTTCCTTTTATCTAAACAGATTAAACACACAAACTTCGCTCCCGCCCCGCAACGCGCTCTTCACTGCTTTCTAGTCGATCCTGTCTTCTCCAGTGGGAAACATATGGCCTTCTGGTTTGTATGATTGGGGCTACCACGGCACCCACTAGTAGTTTTCGAACAGTAGCGCAGCTTCTACATACTTATTTGGGAAGAAGGTGCAAAGGAGAGTTTTTTTTTGTGGCTGTAAATTACACCGCCTTGTTGCTTTGCCTTTAGGAGCTGCTACCGTGGATATCCTGACTGCCAACCAGCCCACGTTATTCGCCATGCAGGCGGGTGGATAAGGTTCACTCTCCTGCATATGATTTCTTATAATCCTGGATGATTTGCATTAAGTAGCATGCCAAGTCTTCCTCCCTCCCTCCTCGCCCCCTTCAGTTTCTCTTGGAGGGAGGAGGCGAAAAAAGCCTCCGTGAAGAGCTCCTCCTCTGGAAAGCTCTGGTGGCAAATAGACTGGTCAAGGAATGGTTTGCAGAACAAATAAGGCTATAAATTGGATGCTTGTCTCCTGTCCCCCCCTTCCTTAATACACTCAGGTACATTGTTTACAATGGCATACTTTGTCCATGATTCGTTGAGTTGCCCAACTCTCAAATCCTAATGCCTGTGAAAATGGAAAACAGTAATTTTAAAACAAACAATAAATAGCTCACAGACTTTCCCCTTCTTATCCAACAGTACTGTCAGGAGTGAAACAGGTTCTACAGCACCTATCAAGTCATTGCTTCATCCCCAGTAGGTGCTGAGACAAAAAAAGGAGAACCTTCACAATGAATTACATGCCACCTGATGACAATGTAAGGGAAAAAATGAATTGAGGACAAAAAAGTGTGATCTAACAAAAGCAGTCCAAACTCATCTCCCAAATACTCTGCACTCTTCACAGTTGGTGTGTCACAGATATGCTGGAGTGAACGAACAGGACTCCTATGTTGTGAACTGCCCTGAGATCTAGGGATGAAGGGTGGTTAATAATAATAATAATAATAATAATAATAATAATAATAATACAGTGGTACCTCAGGTTAAGTACTTAATTCATTCTGGAGGTCTGTACTTAACCTGAAACTGTTCTTAACCTGAAGCACCACTTTAGCTAATGGGGCCTCCCGCTGCCGCCGCGCCACCGGAGCACGATTTCTGTTCTCAGCCTGAAGCAAAGTTCTTAAACTGAAGCACTATTTCTGGGTTAGCAGAGTATGTAACCTGAAGCGTATGTAACCTGAGGTACCACTGTAAAGCAGGCAGGTCCCAAAACTGGTGTTAGGTTCCCAACAGGATGGTTCTAGTGATGGTCTTGTTCTTTTCCGGTTTAAGCATGCACCATTAATCACGAACACAGAGCACTGAAGACTGCATAGGGACTGATGACAAATTACTGTACCCTTAACAGAGTTAATACCTAAATTCAGAAATCCACACAGTTGCAGAAATTGATTTAGTGAACATCCCATCTTAAACAAATCACATAAAATAGCAACAAGTATTTGAAGCGAAATTCACACATCAATGGTGGAATGCATGTTTTGTGTCCCAGGTTCAGTCTCCAGCCTCTCCAGATCCTGCCTGAAACCCCAGGAAGTTGAGTATCACTGGACACGGCTGGGATGTTTTGTGACTCAGCGGTGGCATGGATGTCCAATCCTAGGTATGTAACTGCAACGTAAATCTTAGGACAGAGTTTTACAGTCTGTTCCTAATGATATAGCACTTTAGGTCTATAGTGCCTTGAATTGGGTTTAAGGGCCCATACACAAAAATATAGAAAATGACAACAGGTGCCAATGAGAAGTATGAGAAGAAGGCAGTGACAGCAACTGATTCTGATGTGCTTTAGCATGACACTGTGTAAAGACAGTCATACAATTATTTTATTCATTTATAAACATGTTTATAGGCCACATTTTGGGGCATAACCCACACAAGGCAACTTACAGCAGAATAACAAAATGCTGTAACACACACACACAAAACCAAGTGAGTTATGCAGCAGCATAAAAAACTGCAACATGAGCCAGATAAACTACAAACAGGAATAAAAGCATAGGCTTTGATATTAATTTCAGGGCTGGGGGGACCCCACAGCATTAAAACATTTTTAAGACAGCTGAATAACTTGAAATATTGTTGGTTTCCATCTGTCTCGAAAGACATTGGAGTGCACCTCCAGGGGCGAAGTCAAACCACCGGAGAATTTAAAGGGCCTGTTGTGGCTGCAGAGATCGGTAACTTTAAACTCGTAGCTTCGGTTAGCAGCACCGAAGGGTCCTCTCCTGGGCACAAGCCTGGGCAGTGTGCATGGAGGTCCTGGGCTGCCCAGGAGACAAGACCTCCCTCTCAGTTTTGCTGATGAAAGAAAGGCAGAGCAATATATTTGGCATCAGCTCAGCTGCAGGAGTTGTTGGAAGGAAGCATGCAAGGTGCCATCCAACCATCTTAGGGAATCCACTCTGTATTTATGTAGGGTTTACTCCTGAGCCTTTTCTTCTCCCAAGCATCAGAGTTTTCCTTCTCCTACATGAGCTACCTTCCCAGGTTGATGAGCATCATTTGCCTCTCACTTCCCTCTACAGCACATGCAGGAACCACATTATTGACTATTGCAGCCACTATTGGTCTTGTCTGCTCAATCCACTAGAGCCTGTCTTCACATGCAGGGAGGTCCCTAACTCAATGAGGGTTTGAGATCCCATTACTTGGTTTAGCCAGCCAGTCGAAGCTGTTCCCAGGGTGTGGCTGCTGTCACATGCTGATTTTTTCTAGGAGCCACAGGTGAGAGCTCCCAGGGTGAGGACAAAAGGTGGGCGAACTACCCCAGAAGGAGCATGATGACTTCCCAACCAGAGGTACTACACCTCCCCGAATACCCCATACGCCCCACTTAAAATAATATTTAGGCCTTCCTAAGTAAGTATGATTTTAAAGCTGATAATGTAGAGTTTGTTCCAACTCAGCAGGGGAGTAGTTACGTAACCCAGGGCAGGCTTCCTCAGCCTCGGCTCTCCAGATGTTTTTGGCCTACAACTCCCATGATCCCTAGCTAGCAGGACCAGTGGTCAGGGATGATGGGAATTGTAGTCTCAAAACATCTGGAGGACCGAGGTTGAGGAAGCATCCTCATTCATGCCCACCAACCGAACCAATCTCACTGGCAGGCCTTTAAAAAAAGGCAGATCTCAGTGTTCAAACAGGCTCCAAAGGGTGCAGATAACTTGCTCCTAAACCTTTTAGGGCTTCACAAGTCAAAACCAACATTTACAGTAGTCTTGATCCCAGAAACATACATTCAGTCAACGTGGACTGGCACAAAATCTGTGTCACATACACTAACACCCCTAAGTCCCAGATGGATAAGATAACTATAGTATAGGTGACAACGCAAGCTACTACCTCTGCTGCAACAATTACTACAGATTAGGATAAGCAGCCTGCCTAACTGCAATGCAATTACTGAAAATATCACTTCAGTAAGAGAGCTGTGAAAGGAACAGTTCGAAGCTAAATTCAAATGCTCTTAATAACATCACTTCTTCAGTGGCAGGAACATTTAAAAACTATTAATGTTTGATTTACTGCCTAAATGTGGCCCCTTTTCTAAACAAGATCTTGCCTTTTCCATTTCAGAATAATCAATAACATTTGTATCTTAGACAGGGAAAACTTTGTATGCAGAGAATATCTAGATAAATTGTTGCCTATCCAAGCCAGCCAATATCTAGTTATGTCATCCATTTCTCAAAAAGTGCTGACAGCATCTGATCATCATCTTCAAGTTACTCAGTCTGATAGCAATTATAATAAATACACTGTTAATATCCTAATAGATCCCCTATTTTGATTTGTTTTATTTCTGCACCTTGTTTCTCTTTTTACTACTGGTCTCTGTTGCTGTTGATTGATTTGCTGAACTTCTGTTGTTTAAACTGTTGCAAGCCCCCAATCCCAGCCCTGCAAATGCAGTGGTAGGCGAGGAGACTACATGATATTAATGGATTAAGAAAGCAGCTAACATTGTTCACTTTTAATACACATTACCTTGCTGTGCAGTGTTATAGCCCTGTGCATCTAATTGAAAGTAAGCCCCATTCACTTGGGACTTGTGTGTATGGGATCAGGCTCCGTAATTAACAGCAACACTTTATTTTCTGGCTTTACATTCACTGAACAAAATATAGTAGAAATCTATTTGCACAAGTGGCATTACATTGAGATTATATTAACTAGTGGAGTACACAATTTGAGTACTTATAGAGGAGTTTAATCCATTTTAATATTCAGAATGAAATGCTTCTTATTGATTGTTGTGTATGTTTTATACACACACACACACACACACACACACACTGGTACCTCGGGTTAAGAACTTAATTCGTTCTGGAGGTCCGTTCTTAACCTGAAACTGTTCTTAACCTGAGGTACCACTTTAGCTAATGGGGCCTCCCGCTCCGCCGTGTGATTTCTGTCCTCGTCCTGAAGCAAAGTTCTTAACCCGAGGTACTATTTCTGGGTTAGCGGAGTCTGTAACCTGAAGCGTCTGTAACCCGAGGTACCACTGTATAGCCCACTGAGTTCATTGGGACTACCAAGTAAGTGTGTGTAGAATTTCAGCCTTAATGGGAGACAAATAAAATGTTCTGGCGTAGAAAAAGGCCAGTGCCTTCATTGGTAAAGAACCATTGCTATTCGAAGTGCCTCAACTAGAAACTTACATTCATGTAAATGACATTCACTTCATAGGGAGCAATCCTATTGCACGATCCGCCGGGATAAGCAAGGTCAGGATCCAGCAGATCTCTAGCTGAGCTGGAAGGGCCTACTCCGGCTTAACTCCCTCATCCTTGGCTCAGTCAAGAGATACAGCAATGGATTTCCTGTCTCAGTTGGGACCTAGCTGGCTAAGCCTAGCCCAGCAGGTCTTACGCTAGTATAGACCCTGAAGAAGGTGCGTTCAGGGGCAGGACTAAATCAGGGGGGCTTGGGCTGGATCCAAAGCCCGCTCAGCTCAGTCAGTGTCATGGGGTCAGCCCATGACAGCCAGATGACCTGGCAACCTGAGGTAAGTTAAGCTGGCGAAAGTGTGGTGTAACAAACACTATTTCAAAGGCTTGTTTTCCCTATGTGAGGCTTGGGCCAGCTTGGATTTGGGTATAACTTTATGCTGCCTTAATTTACACCAGCTTATTGGGTATAATAATACTGCTCCCCTAAGCACTTCCCAGCCCCACTGCAAAGATATAACTTGTTATATTAGGTACATACAGGGATTTCACCGTGTATGAAGTTTTGGACATGTAACTTTATGCCCAACGCACAAAACATTAGTCGGTAATATACACGCAACTGAACGGGGCCAATGTTATTTGGTAATGTATACATCCCAGCAACTTTACAAAAGCCTCAGGCTTAATTTCAGTCTGATTGAGCAGAAGCCTACTACTCAGGCGTAATTTCAGTCTGACCTTTTCCAAAGCATAGGATGCCATTTCTGGGTTAGGATCAGCTCCAGATTTTCACAATCTGCGTTGCACATGAACACTCCACAAGTGGGCACTGGGAATCAATAAAAAAAAAGCTCAGCTCCCTTGATGTGCAGAATTGCACCTGGTGACTTCTTAATCTTGCAAAAAGACCCGGGAGCTTGTAACATAACAAAATGGCTGGAGAAAGGGGGATAAGTAGGAAGTGGGAAAGCATTAAACAATCACCCCTTCCCTCTACTGTGTTCCACTTCAAGTTTCCTTCACCCCCCAATACCGTTTTGCGATGTAGAAGCAGGCCAGAAGGGTTTTATTATATGCACGTGCATGTAATATTTAGTTAGACCCTTATATGGAGAAAAGCACAGCCACATCCCATGTGAGTCAACCAAAACACATCTGTCTTGTTCTGTTATGCTATAACTTCTTACTACAAATACTATATATCAGAAATGAGGTTAGAGGAACACTGCTGTTTCCAGTCCTGCCCCCAATTTCTACATACCAGCCACAGCTTTCAGTGTAATATAGTATACTATATAGTATAGTATTGTATAATATATTATAGTGTAGCATAACAGCACTTAAGCTGCTATGGTGTACCGATTCTGGTAGCTGTTGCCACTGCAGTAGCATGAGCATGCACATTCATCACACCAGCACAATGCTCTGTATCTGTTCATGTCTCCAGCAGAATACTCTTAATTTTATACCATGGTGTGGCTGCAGTATCCCTGAGTTTGATGATGCTTATTTGCCACTGATTTGAACGAGTTTCAGCCTGCAATAATAACTAACTTACACACAATACTAATTTAAGGTTAATCTCTGTTTAGATTTGTTGTGCCGCGTTTGGTATTTTGGAGAGAGAAAATGTAGAGTTGAGAGGAGCAGGAGAAGTGTCTGCTTCAGGGAAAGTAAAGTGGAGGGCACAGAAAGCAACCCACCTGAATGTTCGGGTCCTCCAGGCGCATTTCTGAGCAGGCCCAGATTTCTTCCCTTCACTCAAATTATAGAAAGCAAGGCAATCAGCATTAGCGTCTGGGTAGAGCTAATTAGAACTCTCAGAGAGTGCAGAACCTGCAAAAATCAGCCCCAACCACACAAAAGCAACAGCAGGAGAAGCTGTAGGATGTGTGCTACAGGAGGCCCCAAAGTTCACTTTCCCCCAGAGTGCATTGAAGAAAGCATATCCTAAAAGGAACCGCTTACAAGTTGTGGCAGGTGTAACCGGCAGCAAAGTAAAGACAGGTGCTGAAAGCAGGTCAAGGAGCTTTTGCACGAGACTTTCCAAATTTCCCTTTCTTCACAGCTTCTCCTTTGAAGGCCCTTGTGACTCCTGGTCTACTTGCTTCTGGAGTGCTCAAACTGCACTGGGTGCTGCATCATCAATGTAAGCACACAAACATTCTTGAAAACAGAGTGACAAAGCCGAACAAAACCATTGGTAATTTTCCCCCCCCTCACCCTTATAGCCTGATACCGTGATAAATGTTTCTATATTAAATCAATGCTTTGTCTTTATCTTCAGAACTGTGTCAACCATGTATTATAAACGGTAAGCAGGGTACTGTAACAGTTAAAATTAGCAAATTCAAACACATATTTTTAGCAAAACAAGCACTTATGTATAACACTAAATTTGTTTTGTTCATGTGATAAAATTATTAACTATTTTTATTTTGAAGGGAGGCTCAAAATACCTAAGGTGTGTCAATCAGCTAATGGTGAAAGACAACGAAAGGTATCATTTAAAAACAAACAAACATATTTTTAAAAGAACTGGGCATTCTGGTCACCATCCTCCGATAACTTACTCCACAAGGGTTTTGTAAAGATCCATACACTGGGGTATAAAATTTGCACATTTTCACTTTTGATTATATTTCTTCCTAATAAATGAAGTATGTCATGGAAAACAGAACACTAGGGGGCAGTGCTGAGCCTCTTCTGCAGAAAAGTAAGTAAACGTGGGAAAATTCAGATGTAACTAACACAATGTATTATTTCCCCCCATGATTTATTGAACAGCATAAAGCTGCATGCTTCTGACTGAACTCCAAAGGCTTTTTTATATATAAATATATTCTTGAGGGAAAACACCATACACCTACACACAACTTCGAACAGTTGGAAGTCAGCTCTAAATATTACCATAGTGTGGGAAATTTAGGTTTTTGGTGTGTTTTTTTACTGCATTTTGTGCAAAGCATTGGAACTTATAAATTACAATATAAAAGAGAAGATGCTAGAAATTGCTGGCTCCAGAATGCCTCTCTCCGTCTGCTTGATCCCACAGCAAGTACACAGTGGGAATAATTAAGAATATGATTGGGCTGCTCAGCTTAAATTTCTGTAAGACTCATTGTGACGTTATCAGTTTTCTTCAAAAATTCCAGCACCCCACTTCCGTATTATATAGTTCTGGGATAAAAAGTCACATTCCTTATCCAACAGATGCCTGGGGTCACACCCATAATTCCCCATAAAAACATACAAATGTTACTGTGGCTAGACACCAAACTCTTGGTTCCATTTCAATCAACGTCACACACAGACACACACACGTTTTGAAATCTTTAGCACACACCTTTCCCCTTGCTATGCTCTGGTAATGTCTCTAGTGACATATGAGTCAAACCACTGCCCTTCATTCTTCCTCCTTCCTGCTCTTTGCTGAAATGCTGGCCAATCCCAAAGTTCCAAGCACTTAATCCAGCACATCCTTTGACACCCGTGTTGCTCATTTGGAAAACTTGGCAGGGGTGGGTGGGTCGAGGGGCCAAGTGGGTCTGCTTTCTTGTCCACTGAAAGCAGGGATATAGGGCACCTCTGCCCCTCCAGAATTTAAATAAACACATAGATGCCGTTCATAGAAGCAAAGGATCGTAGAACTTCCAGTACCAAATAAAACAACAGCTAATAGGCCACCACTGTCGTGCTTGTTGCATCACAACTTCCACCACTGACCATTGCCATTGGAAGAGCCACAGGTCCCACATCCCAGCACTAAGAGTGCAAGCTTTTTATCCTAACTCTGGTCATTCAGTAATTCTGGGTGGATATAAGCAGGGCTCCCCCCAGGGGGGACCCAAGGGTACGCAGTACTGGCACCTCTTTTTGTGTGGCACTTACTGTAACAACTTCATGGTGAGTTCCGGCACCTATTTTTCTAGGGAAAAAGCACTGGATAAAAGCCCCACAGGCCCTGCTGATGACCCCAGAAGAATCTAATAATAAGGCCCCAAGCCTTATATTTGATAGTCTTCCTGATTTACAGTGCAGCTCTATACATGGGACTAAGTGAGGCTCACACTCAGGTAAGTGAATAGGATTGCACCCATAGAGATGAAGAAATGGCCCAGAACTCCCGTCAGACTGGGTTTATGGTACTATATGGTTTAAGGAACTATGCACACCAGCCTGAGGATGGGCTCCCACTGAATACAGTTACAGCGGTACCTCGGGTTACATACGCTTCAGGTTACATACGCTTCAGGTTACAGACTCTGCTAACCCAGAAATAGTACTTCAGGTTAAGAACTTTGCTTCAGGATGAGAACGGAAATTGCGCGGCGGCCGCATGGCAGCAGCAGGAGGCCCCATTACCTAAAGTGGTCTTCAGGTTAAGAACAGTTTCAGGTTAAGAACAGACCTCCGGAACGAATTAAGTACTTAACCCGAGGTACCACTGTACACTTACAGCTGAGTAAAGGATAGCAGTGCAAGATTGTCAGCTGTGACCCAGGAAGTCGACAGTTCAGAACTTTCCCAGTGGTTTCATGGGTGATGTGGCCTCAGGCAAGATACTGTGGGGACAGCTATGAGGCATGGAGCTGCAACTTGTCCCAGTTGCCTGATATGCATTCCTATATGATATACGTAGCTGGGAGCGAGCATCACCATTCGCTTTTGCAGAGAATGTTAAGAGATACCCCATGTTTTGCAGTGTGTGATGTGCAAATCACTCCTGTTGACTGTCCTCTAAGACTTGTTTCTCATAACTCTTTTGCAAGCTTACCAAGGATCCAGGGGATTGCTCAGTTGGTAGAGCATGAGACTCATAATCTCAGGGTTATGGGTTCGAGTCCCACATTGGACGAAAGATTACTGCCTTCCAGAGGGTGAGACTAGATGAGCCTTGGAGTCCCTTCCAACTTGACAATTCTATAGTTCTATGATCTCCTGTTCAAACTTTTTTGAAACATACCCAAGGCTTGCATGGTTAAGGAGCTGCCTTCTACAGTTGCACCATTAACCCATCCAGCTCATTACTGTCCATGTTGACCCTGAAGTGGTTTATCCAGGATTTCAATCCCAGTCCTACGGGGACATGCCAGGGATGGGACTTTTTGCATGCGCCAAAAGCTACAATCTCTGTGCCTTTTAACTGTTTCATGCCTAGCACAGGTGCAACAAAGACGGCCTTTTGCATTACAGCAAGTTGTTGGCACAGACTCACAGTGCCTTTCCAGGCCCGTGACCTGCAATCTCAGAGCTGTTTCATTTGGGCCTGCCAACTGTGCAAACAAGAAGCCGCAGCCCAACCTGTCTCCCTGACGAGTGCATCTGTATTTGTGATATACATCTGTCACACTTAGACTTTACACTTTCAGATGTACAGTACATTTAGAACAGGGCAGGCACGTGACACGGCCTAGAAGCCTAACTATTGACAAGGTCATTGCCACCTGCAGGAAGCAATTAATGGGTTCCAAGCAGATGTCTGTAACAGGCAAGTTCCGTACTGGGTGAGCACAAGGGACTGCAAGTACACACAGCCCATTTATTGCTAAAAATTATATCTCATTGCTGGGAGGGAGGCTGCATGGCATTCCTTAACTGGTCATTGGTCCATGTTTTAATGAAAGTTGACTGACTGCCTTTGTAGGACCATCTTGAAGCAGGTTCACTGTGCTTTGGTGTGTGTGTGTTTTGAGCCAACTGATGCAAGCGTTCCGATTCGACTGTTGAGCATGCCATGGTTTCATGGTTGAGAACCACAGTTAGATCTCTACATTTCTGAAGGGAAGCTGTGGAATATCCATTCGCATCTTTGGTGGAAAGAAAGGAAAGATAATATCATTTTTTATTGAAAATGATGCGGGAAAGGGGGAGTAAAAGGGCGAACAAGTTGTGTATAATATTACACATGTATGTGTTGTTTATATATATATAATATATATTATTATGCAGTTTTGTGTCCTCGGGTGTTTCCGTGTAAGTTGTGTAGCGACGTTCCGACGAGGTCTACTCGTCATCTTAGGCTGGTGCTTTCGCTTTTGTATGGAACAGAAGGTCTCGTGTTGAGTCATAATACTCTGGGAGTGTGGTGTAATCTCTCCAAGTCTGGGGCAGAAGGAAGTTCAGTAATGTGCTTTTTGCTTTTGTTCTAATATTGAGGATATCTTGATGATTTCTTGAGTGATATCCTGAGTTACAGAAGCCGAAAGCAAAGCTGATATGACGAGTGAGACCTGTCGAAACGTCGCACACCCAACTTTACACGGAGGACCGAGGAACCAAACCGCTTCCTGTACCCGTGAAAATTACGAAGCAAAATTATTTATATATAATATATATATATATGGTATACATGTATAGTCTCGATGTGCCTGACTCGCTTCCCCGTTAGCAAGCGCTCGGCGCCGTTCACCCCGTTCTTCCCCGCTTCACTCCCTTCTCTTCTTCCTGGTTCCTCCCCAGAAAGGCTGCGGCGGGGTCACCGAGAGAGAGAGAGAGAAACTGGGAAGAGAACCAACTGCTGCGCAACGCTAAAATAATAATAATAATAATTACGAAAAAGCCGCAGGGGGAGGGGGCTGCTCCGCTTTCGCGGTCAGGCAGGCCCAGACACCTGCCGGAGCGGGAGGCCGAGAGGGAAGGGAGCGCGCCGCTGCCTCCCGCCGACCCCGCGGAGGAGGGGCAGCAGCAGCAGCTTCGCCTGAGCAACTCGAGGCGGAGCCCGCCGTCGGGCGCGCGCGGAGGCGGAGCTCCCGCGGCCGGCGTCTTTAACCCCACGCGCGCCGCGGAGTACCCGGCGTCTCGCTCCAAGCCGGAGGGCTTTTTTTTTTTCCCTAACCAGGAGCCGCGTCGGCGTGACCTTTTCGCGGTCCTCCTCCTCCTCTTGCAAACGGTTGTGCTTAAGCTCCCGCCTCGGGCTGGGGGAGAAGGAGGTGGCCCGATTTCTCCCGCCAAAGTCCACTTTCAGCCCGCGCCTACTCGGTCCCACCCACCCGCGCTAGGAGCTCGTCGCCGCCCCTACCCCGAAAAAGCAAAACAAATAGGCGGCGTCTCCCGACGAAGGCTTTCCCGCCCTTTCTCCAGCCACCATTGACGCCCAGGGCTCGCTCAAGGAAAGCGCCTGTGGCGACCATCCCCGTCCCGTCCAAGTAAGTGCGCTGATAGCGCTGCCTTGCGCCACTGAGCGGGAGGGGACTTGCGCCCTCGTAAGCGTGCGTAAAATGGCCAGCTTTTGCAGTGCGCCCAGGTGCAAGTCTCTCCAGCACATTTACTGGGTGAAAACGCGAGAAATCATGGAGGTGCAGCTTGCCTGAGGGTTTAAACCCTGCTTTGGTGCCCTAGGTCACAAAGAGACTGAAAT